GAGAGAGAGAGAGAGAGAGAGAGAGAGAGAGAGAGAGAGAGAGAAAGAGAGAGACGAATAAGGATGTTATCAAATTCGAGACATCGTGGTCTTCGTCTATACGCTCGTTAGTCGAAAATCGAAGAGTCGAATGTAACGAAACTACCGCATTTGTGTCACAACGCAACCCAGACGAAAGCAAAGAAACATTCGGCTCTTCGGCTATTAGCTAATCTCTAGCGTAAGCCTAGTTTGCTGTCGGTAGAAGCACAGAGGAGCATACTTTCGAACGTTGTCTGTGTTCATTGTAGGTACGTTATTAGACTATTATTTTTCACTTATTATTGTATATATTCGTGAGAGATCTCTCTTTTCTTGTGATTGCGACTGTGACTGTTTGTATTATATACTCTGTCGAGATTGTCGTTGTAACGTGATCATGACGCACTTGAGCATCTGTCGAGATTTATAGTATAACGAGCTGTTTTAGGATAACGGCAGTTTTGCGTCGCGCGCTTTTACGTCGCCGTGAGAACGAGGCGAACGTGAAACCGTTCATCGTTTTAGTCACAACACACGTGACGGGATAAGTTTAAGCAACTAGATACTATCGATATTAGCTAATCGACATTTTGCATGCGTATCACTCTTCTTTTTTTCTTCATTTTTATTTTACTCTTTATCCTGTACTACACATAAGTTGTGCAACTTCTGTTGCGTCTCGTGTTGTTTGCTCGTGAGAAGAAACTAACGATCCGTGAAGTTTTTCTTAAACGCACTGAGAGTCTCTCGAAATCATACTTGCGTAATGTTTCGTAATTTTTTACATAGTTTTCCGTTTTTATTTCCTCGATTTTTCTTCTCACAGCTTCACTCGCGCTCTTTGCAATCTCCGTTTCTCTTTTTTTTCCCCTTTCTACGCTCTTTTACATTATTTCCGCTTGCCCCTTTGCTTTCCCGTGACGTAATCCGCGCTTCCACACTTTCATCGTCCTCCGCATTGCCGGCGACACCTCCCCTTTCCCCCCATACCTTCCATCGATCCCTGACCCTTGCCTCGCGATATTAACGCTCTACCACTTTGTCTACCTCGAATCCGCGCGACTTGCTCTTTATCTTGCGTCTATTATCGCGATATCGAGACCTGAATATCGTAGACAACCAAAAAGTAAAGCCACTTGCAATTGCAGTATCAGTTTCTCAATGTTTGGTGGGTGAGACTAAAGTCTCGGGGGGAACAATGTAAAATCGAAAGCAAGTGAGAAAGAGAAAGAGATTCAGGTCCTGATCGTGCTTTCTCTGTGTCCAGCTCTTTCTCTTACTCGCTTCCTCGGTGGTTCACATATTCGTACCTTCCTCTTTCTCCTCTAAATTGAGTGCCGCTGCTTTGCAGAATCGCGAGGGTGGTGATCGTTCAAGAAGCGGAGGCGGAGGTGATTTCCAGAGATCCGACTCGTCACCAGGCTCACGGCCCAGTTCGGTCTTACCGGATCTCCTGACTTCTTCGCCGGGTCAACGACAGGACAAGTCAACCAGTGAAGAGGTCAGATTCAGCTGTCCGTTTATATGTATCATTCTCTGTTTCCTACGTTGTCAATCTGTACGCACACTCGTATACATCTCGTTGTCTCTTGGTGCGTGCACGGCGTGAATGAACGCCCATGCCGTTTGACGTTAACGATCTACGAGCGTAATCTCCTCGTTCATGAGGATCTGACGTATCTTGATGTCTCTTGATGCGAATTTCAAGCGCGACAATGAGCTGATCTCAGCGAATGTGTGCGCACACTTGACATTTTTCACTACTTATTTATTTATTTATTTATCTACTTCTTACGAAAACTTATATGTTTACTCGTCGAGGCGTGAGTCTTGTGAGCGATGTGACGTGCGAACGTCGTTTACGTTTACACAATACGATCGACAAAGACTCTGAATGATTATATCGTTTCGTTCAGTAGCAATGAGAATGCCTTTCTTTTGATCGTGTTATATCGGACTGTATCCGAGAAGTAATGCTTTTTGATTGAGTCGAGAACGTGGTCTCTCTATCACTGTGTACACCTTATAATCGTCAGATTACTCTGAGCATCGTACGTCGTATAAATAGGTACGTAGCGCGTGTGGTACTGTGTTCACCCGCAAACCTCATTCAGTAATGTCGCTTTACTTTTGTCGCCGGGCTCCGACAGAGACTAATAGCAACGACGGAGTAACGACAACGCGACGCGAGTTTCAATCTTGATGCTTCGACACGCAGCACTCTCGGCTATGTCGAACCGACCGTGTGTGATTTGTGTATAATATAGAGAGGAGAGAAATATTTTTATACATATATATTTATATATATATATATACACATACATGTATATGCTTAAGTTTGAGGGTTTACACAGGGGGCGGCTTATGCTTTGTGTCGATGTCTTGTTAATTGTCCGTGATTAGTCTATAAAGTGCATTTTGTTATATACGTATCGATCTGTTGTCTCGTTTCTCTAGGTTGCATTCTCACTTTGTTTTGAACTTTAGCGATTGGTCAGGTACATATATATATATATATATATATATATTGTGACGGTATCGATTTTATGTTTTCTCTCATTTTTCTTTGTTTTTTTTTTTTCCTTTGTGCATATACAAGTAACATTATCGTGTACGAAGTTGATGATGCAAGAGATGCCCTTTAAGGCTCTTGGCTTACTCGCCGCCGTGGAACTCTTGATTAATGACGTTAGAAGCGAGCAAATGCATGTCTAAAATTCCTGCAAAGTACATCGAAATAAAAAGATGTGTGTAAAAGAGTGACATTGCAATCGAATGAAGAATTTATTCATTTAAACCAAAATGCTTAAAATTACACAAAGTATAACATAACATTTATCACAGTAAAATACATTCGCAATTAAGGTAGTTAAGAGAAATATTTGTGATGAGAAAAAATATAATATTTATTTTTCTGTATGGATTTTAATTTGATATAACTTTTTATTTTGATGTATACCGTGTAGGAATTTTAGGCATGCATTTCTTTACTTCTAACGTCACAAATCAAGATGGTCGCGGCGAGTGGTCAGAAGTCTCAGCGCGTTCACGTGACATTAGCAGTAGGAAATACGTGTTTCGATTTTAGCAGAAACTTAGGAAACCATATGCGCTCTTAGAGGCAACTGTTCGAGGATCTCTCAAGTGGTCGATATTCTCAGTGTTGGTGAAGAAAAATATGGAAAGAGAGGGAGTGAGAGAGAGAGAGAAAGAGAGAGAGAGAAAGGAAGTTATCACTAGTCTAGACGACGTAGAAATATTTTTTTTGCGTGTGCGTCACTTCGCCCTTTACCTGAGCTTCGTTCAATTTTACGTCGGGTCAAAGGAGTCTCGACGGTACAATCTCATACATATCCAACTCGTCGCCATATAAAGTCACACGCAGTTAGCTTTTCTTATATTCGACGCATGAGAGCACTTCATGTGGTCGATATTCTTTTATTTTTAAACATTCCCATGTTCCCCTCGACTTGTTACACACAAACACGCAGACACAAGCACACACGGCGAGCGCACGGTTCTTCTTCGTTTTCCCCTGATTTGAGACGCGTCGGTCGGCAAGCAAGAGGTGAGACGTCCGATTGCGTCGACGGCGAGTAGAGAACACATGGAATACGCGAGAGCACAGACTTGTATCGACCTTATTGGCAATCCACGTGCAACAGGAGGAGACGCGTAAATCACCGGCGATCGGACTTCCGTTCGAGCCGTTCGCTGAGTTTGTGAACGTTGCGCTGAAATCGCGGCCTAGAACGTAGAGTAGTCGCCTTTTTTCCGGACGATTCTACGATACGTACGGTCGCGTAGCGTGTAGGACCGTGGATCGCGTCCAACGTCTCTGTTTCACGTGCGATCCCTATAAGCGTCAATTGTATACGGTTGTCCAGCGTGACTAATTCAGGATTATGTTGTGTGTTGTGGGACACGCGGGAGCTCTAACCCGAAGGGCAGGGCCCTCTACTCACCATTCCAATCCCAATACTAATTGCAATGTAAGTATCTCTCTATTCATCCATTTACGATTTCTCAACGTTGTTACTGCCACCCCTCCGCCTCTCTCTTCGGGCTCGCGCGTGGTCGCGAGCGCGAGGGGAGGAGACCGGAGGCACAAAAACCATCGTGTTATATACTTTGCTCTCTCGATCGTTTTGGCCCTTTTCGTTAATTATATATGCACCGCGAGTTGAATGCCAGTTTTGTGTACGCGCAGGTCGTTTTATATATACCCTCCTCTTTCTGTTGCTGGTTTGTGGGGTCTCTTAGAAAAAAAAAAAAAAAAAAAAAAAAAAACCCTAATAAACTAT